ACATCGATGATGAGCCCAACCTTTGTCGAGCCGTCATCTGTGATGGCCGAGACGCTTCTGAAAAAAAAATCCACGTAGCAGCTCGGTTGAAGGGGGGTTCTCACCCGGTAAAAAGAACAAAAAAATATTCGCGTTAAAACATCGTTGTTTCGGTATTTCATCATTCGTAATCGGAGATAACTTGTCACGGCTGCGCTTTCGGGACATAAGCCGACCCGGCGCATTAACAATTCGCCACGAGCCGAATTGCCGTACCGAACGGTCCAATTTCGGCGCGGCGCGAGACACCTTCAAGCAACGACTCGGTCTGGCGGAGATGGAGCGTGTCGGAGCGTCGGTGCGGATCCGTCGCTTCGGACTTTGCCTCGTCTGCGATGCGCGTGGAGCCCCCAACCCTCTCGGGAATTGTTGTCTGCAACTGCATGAAGATGCGAGGCAGAAGTGGGGCCGAGGTGTAAATCCCATTGGTCTGCGGGGCAAATCCAAATGCTTTGGATATAATTTATGCAGGCGCTTATAAGTGTGTTAAGATCGGCCTCTGTGGAGGAGGAGGCTCGTGAAGGACTCTACTGGGCAGTTGGAGGCAGTCGCCCTCCAACAACAACGGAGGGCGGAGGAGCGACGCTCACAACAACGAGCGGAGCGCTAAAGCACAGCAAGTTGGCACAGTAGGGGGCACAGGTGGTGCATCAGCCAGTCATCTCGGTCATCTCGGTCAGTCGACCCGTGGCACCTGCTGGGTCTGCCCCGTGACCTCCTGCCAGCGGGTGTTCGACACTTCACTGTAGCTTCAAGGTGCACATGGCCTGGCACAAGCGTCGTGGTGACGTCACCGCCACTTAGTGGCGAATGGCGGTTGTGGTTGTTGTGAGTGTCTGTGTGTGTGTGTGAAGAGTGGTTGTGTAGCGGTTAGTGCGCTGCGCTATGAACCTGGCAACCCGGGTTCGATTCCCGCTCACGGCCAACACCGGTGACGATTATCTGAACCGATCCAGGGCCTCTCCTAGGTCGACTCAGCCTCAAATGAGTACCTGGTGTAGAGGTGTGTAGTAAACATCGCCACTGGGGAGACAAAGGTGTGTCGGGCGTGGTGCTGGCCACCCACCCCCTCGTGTGCCGTGCCGGCCTTCATAGGTGCAGCTCGCTAACAGCACTTGCCCCTACAGTCTGTTAAGGTATATGGGTGGTGGGGGGGGTTGGATCTTTGTCTTTGAAGAGCTTGGAAAGCAAATTTGGAAGAAAAACATATTGGGGCTTTACCGAAAAAAACCTAAGAATATGAATCCTTGCAGTCACGAAAGCTTCAAATCTAGAATAGGGTGTAAGTACCCTTACACACAATTCAGCATGTTGACTTGTTCTGCAAGGCCAGTGCCCCCCGTGTGTCAAATTAACGAGGGTTCGCCGCGGTTTCGGTCGCTTGGCGAAGCCGTTGAAGAAATCGAGCCGTCGGTGCCCGGAGCGATCAACAGCGTCGCCCAGAAGAGCCCCCGGGCGCAAAGCTTGAGCCGGAGAAAACATCGGCCGGTTATCCGAACGCCTGGGAGTTCAGCCTCTCTTCACGGTTGTGTTGGTGCGTGCTTTCGCCACACACCCCGCCGCCTGCTGTATTGACGTTACCCTGCGTCAACACGAGCGTGGGACGGGTGGGGAGGCGGAGGGGAGTGTTTTGAAAATGTTTCGACGCGATTCGGCGATGAATGTCACGTAGACGCTAAATGCGTGGGAACGACGGTTTTCAGAGTTCAAGTTCATGTATTAGGTACAAGCCCTGTGAGCCATTCGGCTCTTGAATCGGGTGCAACCGCAACAAACAACAAACAAAAACATGAACAAAAAAACATCTTAAAGTGAATTTGTGACTGAGTGCAAACAGAAAATCCAAGAAAAGACAGCAAAATATTGCAGAAAAAAAGCACTGTTACACACCAACACTGTGCAAAAATCCCAGTGGGATGCAAGTCAAACAACAACAACAACCACAAGACAACTTAGATTAAGGCCATCAGTCTAACTCTGTACTACAACAACAACACAAACAACAACAACCACAAGACAACTTAGATTAAGGCCATCAGTCTAACTCTGTACTACAACAACACAAACAACAACAGCAACAACCACAAGACAACTTAGATTAAGGCCATCAGTCTAACTCTGTACTACAACAACACAAACATGGCTAAACCAATACACTTTTCGAAATCACCAAAATAAAGCCATGAAAGCAATGAAACAGCGATCATAGGAACTGTGACGGAATTTTCAGAGGAGGGTGGCGATGGTGGAGGGTGGTAGGGGGAGGGGGGTGCACTTTGACCGATAATACATCATCGGTGCAAGGGCTGCCACGCATTTGAAACACACAGAGTACACACAGAGTACACACAGAGTACACACAGTACACAGAGTACACATAGTACACACAGTACACACACAGTACACACACAGTACACACACAGTACACATAGTACACAGAGTACACACAGTACACACACAGTACACAGTACACACACAATACACACAGTACACGGAGTACACACAGTACACACACAGTACACAGCGTACACACACAGTACACACACAGTACACAGTACACACACAATACACACAGTACACGGAGTACACACAGTACACACACAGTACACAGCGTACACACATAGTACACACACAGTACACAGTACACACACAATACACACAGTACACAGAGTACACACAGTACACACACAGTACACAGAGTACACACAGTACACAGAGTACACAGAGTACACACAGTACACATAGTACACAGAGTACACACAGTACACACACAGTACACACACAATACACACAGTACACAGAGTACACACAGTACACACACAGTACACAGAGTACACACAGTACACACAGTACACATAGTACACAGAGTACACATAGTACACACACAGTACACAGAGTACACAGAGTACACACAGTACACATAGTACACAGTACACAGTACACACACAGTACACAGTACACACACAATACACACAGTACACAGAGTACACACAGTACACACACAGTACACAGAGTACACAGAGTACACAGAGTACACACACAGTACACACATAGTACACACAGTACACACAGAGTACACAGAGTACACACATAGTACACACATTACACAGAGTACACACACTACACACAGTACACAGAGTACACACACAGTATACAGAGTACACACACAGTACACACAGTACACAGAGTACACACACATTACACACATAGTACACACATTACACAGAGTACACACACAGTACACACAGTACACACACACAGTACACACACACACCGTACACACACAGTACACACACAATATTGTTCCACGTCCAACGTATTAACGGTGGTAAAAAAAAAACGAAATGTAATTTTCGGCGTTTTTTGTCGTCGTCGTTTTCAAACAGTGGAGCGCCGCCGAAGGGACAAGATCAACAACTGGATCGTGCAGCTCTCCAAGATCCTGCCCGACAGCGTCACGGAGAACAGCAAGACAGGCCAGGTGTGTACACTCAAGCGTGTGCACGCGTGTGTGCGTGTGGCGGTGGTGGCGGTGGTGGCGGTGGTGGCAGTGCGTGTGGTTGGCGGTGGTGGCGGTGCGTGCAGCGGTGGTGGTGGCGGTGCGTGTGGTGGTGGTGGCGGTGGTGCTGGCGGTGGCGGTGGTGGCGGTGCGTGTGCACGCGGTGGGCAGCGGTGCGTGTGGTGGTGGTGGTGGCGGCGGTGGTGGCGGTGGTGACTGTGGTGGTGGTGGCGGTTGTGGCGGTGGTGGCGGTGCGTGTGGTGGCGGTGGTGGCGGTGGTGGCGGCAGCGGTGGTGGTGGTGGCGGTGGTGGCGGTGGTGGCTCTTCTGCAGCCGTCCGCAACGCTCTGCTTCCCTTCTCGATAGTCGGAAGAGAGGGACACACAAACTCCAAATCTACAGCAGCAGGCATCGTCAGGGTCGGGTTCGAACCCACGACCTCCTGCATACCAGGCGAGGTAGTTAACATCTCCTAGCCACCGTGATGATGATGATGATGAGAGAGAGAGAGACACCTAAACTCCAAATACGCAACAGCAGGTGTCAGGGTCGGGATCGAACCCACGACCTCCTGCATACCAGGCGAGGTAGTTAACATCTCCTAGCCACCGTGATGATGATGAGAGAGAGACACGCAAACTCCAAATCTACAGCAGCAGGCATCGTCAGGGTCGGGTTCGAACCCACTACCTCCTGTATACCAGGCGAGGTAGTTAACATCTCCTAGCCACCGTGATGATGATGATGAGAGAGAGAGAGACACCTAAACTCCAAATACGCAACAGCAGGTGTCAGGGTCGGGATCGAACCCACGACCTCCTGTATACCAGGCGAGGTAGTTAACATCTCCTAGCCACCGTGATGATGATGAGAGAGAGACACGCAAACTCCAAATCTACAGCAGCAGGCATCGTCAGGGTCGGGTTCGAACCCACTACCTCCTGTATACCAGGCGAGGTAGTTAACATCTCCTAGCCACCGTGATGATGATGATGATGAGAGAGAGAGAGACACCTAAACTCCAAATACGCAACAGCAGGTGTCAGGGTCGGGATCGAACCCACGACCTCCTGTATACCAGGCGAGGTAGTTAACATCTCATAGCTATCGTGATGATGAGAGAGAGAGACACGCAAACTCCAAATATACAACAGCAGGTGTCAGGGTCGGGATCGAACCCACGACCTCCTGTACACCAGGCGAGGTAGTTAACATCTCCTAGCCATCGTGATGATGAGAGAGAGAGACACGCAAACTCAAAATATACAGCAGCAGGCGTCACGGTCGGGATCGAACCCACGACCTCCTGTACACCAGGCGAGGTAGTCAACATCTCTTAGCCACCGCTGTGCCCTCACCAGCCTTCACAGCTGCTACTCGCTAACAACACTTGCCCCTACAGCCTGTTAGGGGCTATACTGTTGCGGGGATCTTTATCTTAGCACGTGTACATTGAGGAGTTTTAGGCCTATTATGGAGCCTTAGCTGACATCACGTTTTGTCCCTTAGCTTGTCGGCAAACTCATTAACGCATCGCAAAATCGGTTAAAGGGACAAGCAGCAACAGACCTCCATTCCACTGTCTCCACCTATGAATAAAAGATGCCCCTTAGTCAACATTTGTCCTGGCAGAGTTTGTTTCATCAAGGTGCGGTTATTTGCCGATAAGATCCCAGAACGCCATTTTTAGCAGGCCCGGCCCAGCTGAACGAAGACGGGGCTTTTCTAGCAGGTCTCCTGTGAAAAAGCGCTTAGTAGATTTCGATGTAAAGCTTCTTTCGTGACTGCAGGGATTCATCTTCTTGGTTCTTTCGGTAAAGTCACGTAGAAGGGAAGTAATAAAATAATAAAAATAAAACATTCAATAATTCTCACGACGTTTCGGCCACAACGCAAGCAGCCGTCCTCAGGTGAAGAAAAGGTTTGTCGGGAAGACAGTCATTCACATCATCATCAACATCATCATCATTAACATCAACATCATCATCAACATCATCATCAATATCATCATCAACATCATTAACATCATCAACATCATCATCTTTTTTTTCGATGTAAAGCTTTCGTGACTGCAGGGATTCATCTTCTTGGTTCTTTCGGTAAAGTCACGTAGAATGGAAATAAAAAAATAAAAAAACATATAATATAATAAAATAACTCAGACTCTGTCTACTCGACAGACCTGCTCTCCACCTGAGGACGGCTGCTTGCGTTGTGGCCGAAACGTCGTGATAATTATTTTATTATGTTTTATTTTTATTATTTTATTACTTCCCTTCTACGTGACTTTACCGAAAGAAACAAGAAGATGAATCCCTGCAGTCACGAAAGCTTTAAATCGAAATTTTATTATGTTTTATTTTTATTATTTTATTATTTCCCTTCTACGTGACTTTACCGAAAGAACCAAGAAGATGAATCCCTGCAGTCACGAAAGAAGCTTTAAATCGAAAAATCGTCGTGATTTAATTGAGTTATTTTCATTTATTATTATTTTATTCCTTATAATTTTTTACCTACGTGACTTTACCTAAAAAACCTAAGAGTATGAACAATTTAACTGGTGCGTCTGTGATGCTCGCAAGTGATGGTCAAATATGGTGATGCAATATGATGTGTGCTTCGAATAATTTTACCATCTCATCATTTTACCATCGCCATCGCTCACCTCCAATGAGCATGGTTGCCTATGTATGGTACGAAAAAAGTTCAGCATGCATCGTGTAGTGTGTATGGTAGGGTGGTGTGTATGGTAGTGTAGTGTGTATGGTAGCGTTGTGTATTGTGTTTAGTTGTGAGCCTATTGCAGTGTGAGTCTACAGGCGGTGTGAGTCTATGGTGTAGTGTTGAGTCTATGGTGCAGTGTTGAGTCTATGGTGCAGTGTTGAGTCTATGGTGCAGTGTTGAGTCTACGTGCAGTTGAGTCTAGTGAGTTGAGTTGAGTCTATGGTGCAGTGTTGAGTCTATGGGCAGTGTTGAGTCTATGGGTGCAGTGTTGAAGTCTATGGTGCAGTGTTGAGTCTACGGTGCAGTGTTGAGTCTATGGTGCAGTGTTGAGTCTATGGTGCAGTGTGTTGAGTCTACGGTGCAGTGTTGAGTCTACGGTGCAGTTTGAGTCTACTGGTGCAGTGTTGAGTCTACGGTGCAGTGTTGAGTCTATGGTGCAGTGTTGAGTCTCGGTGCAGTGTTGAGTCTATGGTTGCAAGTGTGTTGAGTTCTATGGTGCAGTGTTGAGTCTATGGTGCAGTGTTGAGTCTATGGTGCAGTGTTGAGTCTATGGTGCAGTGTTGAGTCTATGGTGCAGTGTTGAGTCTATGGTGCAGTGTTGAGTCTATGGTGCAGTGTTGAGTCTATGGGCAGTGTGAGTCTATGGTGCAGTGTTGAGTCTATGGTGCAGTGTTGAGTCTATGGTGCAGTGTTGAGTCTATGGGCAGTGTTGAGTCTATGGTGCAGTGTTGAGTCTATGGTGCAGTGTTGAGTCTATGGTGCAGTGTTGAGTCTATGGTGCAGTGTTGAGTCTATGGTGCAGTGTTGAGTCTGGTGCAGTGTTGAGTCTATGGGCAGTGTTGAGTCTATGGTGCAGTGTTGAGTCTATGGTGCAGTGTTGAGTCTATGGTGCAGTGTTGAGTCTATGGTGCAGTGTTGAGTCTATGGGCAGTGTTGAGTCTATGGTGCAGTGTTGAGTCTATGGTGCAGTGTTGAGTCTGGTGCAGTGTTGAGTCTATGGGCAGTGTTGAGTCTATGGTGCAGTGTTGAGTCTATGGTGCAGTGTTGAGTCTATGGTGCAGTGTTGAGTCTATGGTGCAGTGTTGAGTCTATGGTGCAGTGTTGAGTCTATGGTGCAGTGTGAGTCTATGGTGCAGTGTTGAGTCTGTGCAGTGTTGAGTCTATGGTGCAGTGTTGAGTCTATGGGCAGTGTTGAGTCTATGGTGCAGTGTTGAGTCTATGGTGCAGTGTTGAGTCTATGGTGCAGTGTTGAGTCTATGGTGCAGTGTTGAGTCTATGGTGCAGTGTTGAGTCTATGGTGCAGTGTTGAGTCTATGGTGCAGTGTTGAGTCTATGGGCAGTGTTGAGTCTATGGTGCAGTGTTGAGTCTATGGTGCAGTGGTGAGTCTATGGTGCAGTGTTGAGTCTATGGTGCAGTGTTGAGTCTATGGTGCAGTGTTGAGTCTATGGGCAGTGTTGAGTCTATGGTGCAGTGTGAGTCTATGGTGCAGTGTTGAGTCTATGGTGCAGTGTTGAGTCTATGGTGCAGTGTTGAGTCTATGGGCAGTGTTGAGTCTATGGTGCAGTGTTGAGTCTATGGTGCAGTGTGAGGTCTATGGTGCAGTGTTGAGTCTATGGTGCAGTGTTGAGTCTATGGTGCAGTGTTGAGTCTATGGTGCAGTGCTGAGTCTATGGTGGCAGTGTGAGTCCTATGGTGCAGTGTTGAGTCTATGGTGCAGTGTTGAGTCTATGGTGCAGTGTTGAGTCTATGGTGCAGTGTTGAGTCTATGGTGCAGTGTTGAGTCTATGGTGCAGTGTTGAGTCTATGGTGCAGTGTTGAGTCTATGGTGCAGTGTTGAGTCTTTGGTGCAGTGTTGAGTCTATGGTGCAGTGTGAGTCTATGGTGCAGTGTTGAGTCTATGGGCAGTGCTTGAGTCTATGGTGCAGGTTGAGTCTCTGGCAAGTTGGTGCAGTGTTGATCTATGGTGCATGTTGAGTCTATGGGCAGTGTTGAGTCTATGGTGCAGTGTTGAGTCTATGGTGCAGTGTTGAGTCTATGGTGCAGTGTTGAGTCTATGGTGCAGTGTTGAGTCTATGGTGCAGTGTTGAGTCTATGGTGCAGTGCTGAGTCTATGTGCAGTGTTGAGTCTATGGTGCAGTGTTGAGTCTATGGTGCAGTGCTGAGTCTTATGGTGAGTCTATGGTGCAGTGATGAGTCTATGGTGCAGTGTTGAGTCTATGGTGCAGTGTTGAGTCTATGGTGCAGTGTTGAGTCTA